TAACAGAAGCATAGATTTGCTGGAAATCCTGCTGATTTTTTTTCAACAATCATGCCTATCACATGAGAGTGTGGCCTAACTTTTTTTTTTTTATATGAGGATTTCGGCGTCTTGAACATTGTTGACTCCTCTAATGATATGATTATATTCAGAGGCCGGACTTGTAGCTTGAGAATTTAGGAATGCCTAAAGTGACTATGCTTGGGAGATACGACGTCTACTCTGCTAAATTGCTTTTAGAGGATTGTACCCAAATTCAGTTCTATTTAGAGTTTTTGAATTTTATTTCTTCAAAATTAATCTATTTTGTGGATTGCATTGTGGGTGAGATTCTTGGGGATTTGTGGGTCCTTTCAACTTGGACTTTTCTCCTGCATACAAGAGCAAGGACTCGCATACAACAGCTATAGAATGAGAGGTAGACCTGACAAGCAAGTTTGAAAAAACATTAACCGAAGCAGCTATGATCCACAAAATGACTGGGCTATCAGAAGGGGTAAACTTAGGCAAGAACGTGGCATAAATAGGATGAAGAAGGTTGTGCTGACAAAATAATCGATCCTTCAGTCAAGGAAACTTCCTAAGAGACCTCAGAAAAGAAAGTCACCTATTTAACATTATCACGATTGCTCAAATTCCTAGATGGAATGAAAGGAAGAGTCCGAAGAACATCAAGCCACTCATCTGAGCTGAAAACTGATGGTGATCCTTAAGGGTGCAGAACAAACTCAGTACCATTGCCAGGCAAAGTGGCAAACCATAAAGAAACCTCATGCTGCTGCTCCCACCAACTTTCATTATCATGTCAACAGTAGAACAATCAATTGAATTGGAATGAAGCCATGTAAACAGAATACTCAATGCAGGGGATGAACATTTGTTATTAAAGCATCTTTGGTAAAGACCAATTGCAACCAGATAACAATAAAGGCAGACTTTCAAAATGCCATCCAACTATTATTAAGAACGCTTGGAGCATGCCAGAGGCGAGGGATCAATTTAAAGTAGCAATGCACAATTTTGTGCAGAATAAAGAATTGAAGTCCCGAAATATCATCTTGGAGCTAGCATTAAAGACAGGACATGCTTATGAGAAGCCAATGGCTGCCTTCATGATAGATAATAAACAAATCAGGGTGAAGCAAGAGATTGCTCCAAAAACAACTTAAATGGGGGAAAGCTACTAGTCTGAAGCAAAATTCATCCACTGGGACTTATCAATTAGATTGAAGCCACTAACCACGTAGGTGGGATTAAAGAGCATTACATTACATCAAAATTTTCAAGGAGAAACATGCAGGAACACGTTGCTCATAAAATACACGTATTAGCCAGGACAGAGAACAAGTGCGTATAAAGGCCTCTTGAATGGAGAGCTGCAATAACATAGAAAAGTCCATATAAATGACGTAAGGAAAGTTAACATACGAGGCTCCTGGAATGAGTTTAACACCTGGTACAAAAACAACAAGCCACCTACTTTATTGTAAAATTTTTTATAGCCAGTGGAGGTTGTCTTAAGAGTAGACTTGCCTTTAAACCCTCAAATGGTTGCATCATAAAAGAAGCATGAAGGTGGCTGAAGCTAGAAATGGTGGATGAGAATTCCATAACCAAAATTATCAGCCACACAAAAGTTTAGGTACACAACTCGAGTGGGTTGGTGAATTTGGTTAATTAAAATAACACTGAAAAATTTTGAACTTCTTACAGAAAGGACAATCAACCTTAAGAGCAATAGGATCAATTTATTTCAGATTTAAGAAATATCACAAAGAAACATGCAAATTGACAAGAAAATAATATTTAAACCAAATTTTATAGTGGTTCGATCCAATTAGGGGACATAGGGGGATCCCAACCTTTTTACGGTATCAAGAAATGTACAAAGTGTAGAGCTTGGAAGAAAGTAGTGGATGACGGATACATGATCTTCAAGAAAAAAAAAACAAAGAATAGAAAAAGAATGTTTGAATCTTCTCAATGGAGCTTTTTTTCTTCCCTTATTTCTAACTGATAGAATGGTTGCTAGGTGTTATCTATAGAACTTCAATTCAGTGTTGAAATGTGCTAAATTTTTACCCAATCAAAGCCCGAAGTATGCCTTCGTAGACATTGGGATTCAACAAGCAATTTTGTCCAAAATTACTCGGGGTGTACATAGGATTTACTCATATGTACTACTCAACAAACACTTTGATCTTGTTATGAAAAGCATATTTATGGCTTATTGAAGCGTATGTACTCTCAGACTGTGCTGAACAAATATAGAACTAAATTATTTTCTTGTTTAAATCAATATATGTTGCAAAGTGTATGCATTTGTAAATTATTTTCTTATTTTAAGGCGTTTTAAGCCAATTTTTAAGATACAAAATAATAATAAATACGATTTAGAAAATATGAGATTTTGCTCATGCTTATGTTGAAATTATAAATGATGTGGGAGTTTTCCCGGATCATGGCACTATAGCTGCTACAGTGCTGTGGACGCGTTACTGTAGAAACTACAATAAGCGCAGTCCAACCCTCCCCTCTAGGGCTGTAAGCGAGCCGAGTTTGAGCGAGCTCAGGCTTGGCTCGTGTTCGGCTCGTTCGAAACTGCTTGTGTTCGAAATCGGCTTGTGAACAGTGTTTGTGTTTGGCTCGATTTAAATATTCGTGTTCATGCTCGATTTGTGTTCGGCTCGTTAAAATTAAATTGAAAAAAAATAAATGCAAAGTGTTGGATTCAAACCTGAACCAAATGTATGGAAAAAAGACACATAACCACATTACCACACGAGCTATTACGATTTAAATTTAAATATAAATATAAATATATATAATATATTACCAACGCCCCCCCCACCACCCCGTTTCTTTCCTTTTCCCTTTTAATGATTTTTTTCTTTTCCATAAAATCCCATATTATAAATCTTTGTCTATTAAATTACTTTCTTTTTATTCTATTTCCTAATTGAAAGCATTGTCTAATATAAGTCCTAATCCATCTTATATATATGGGTAGTTTTTGCTTAGGAAAGGAGGGTTTTGATGATTGCTGATTGCTGATTTCAGTTACTGTCCTTGAGACCTTATTCCCCTCCGAGGTCTGTACGCGACGACAAGAAAATGCTTTGACTGTAACTCGTCTGAGGTAGTGATCATCTCCAAGAGTGCAGGTGAGTTTTGATGATTGCTGATTGCTGATTTCAGTTACTGCCCTTGAGACCTTATCCCCCTCTGAGGTTTGTACGCGGCGACAAGAAAATGCTTTGACTGTAACTCGTATGAGGTAGTGATCATCTCCAAGAGTGCAGGTGGTGTTCCGGCTGTAGCTTGACCCCTATGAGACGTTTTATATTTCTTCAACCCTCAGACCCTATTCATGCTGCTTGCCGCCCAGTCTTATCACCTGCCAGCTTGCTGCGCTCACTGTCGAACTCCCTCCAACACTTTCAGAAGCTGCCATAAGCTCTCCCAACCCATTCAGACCTGGCCGCAACCCTCCCGGGCCTTCCCCCATCCTACAACACTTTCAGAAGCTGCCATAAGCTCTCCCAACCCATTCAGACCTGGCCGCAACCCTCCCGGGCCTTCCCCCATCCTACTGAAGCCATCTCCAGCTCTTCCCAATGCCGCGACGGCCTGTCCCAAGTAGCCCAGCAGCTGCCGCAGCCTACCATCAGATCTACCTGCTATCGTAACCCTTATTGGAGTCTGTGCTGTGTCTTTATGTTTGTGTTGTTGTGTTGTTGTTTTGTTGTCGTTATTTCATGTTTTCAAGTGTCGTGTTTGTAGTCCTTTCAATTTTAGCAATAATATTTGTTTTTCGTTGTGATTTGGGTTTCCTTCGGTATCAATAAATCTCTTTGTGCATTGAAATTTTCAAAAATAATTTTATTTCAATGAATGACAAATCTCCTAATTTTGATGAAAATCTTCTACCCTACTCAACCTTTGAAGTGCCCAAATCAATTTCAAACTTTATGGAATTTGTTGCATTGATGCAAAACTAGTACATGCGCATGTATCAGGTGAATTTTATTATTTTCAAATTCTTTTTAAAAATATGAGGCTTGCATATGCAATTTAAACCAATCCTTTTCATAATTTTACTAAACTTCAGCAAAATTCCTTGTAAAACTCTAGGTGCCCTTTGCTTAGGACCCTCAATTCTTCTTAAAGTCCTTGAGATGGTTGAACTCTGTATTTTAGTTTCTTTGCCACTTGAGCTCCTTGAATTCTCGTTCTTAATGAAAACCTTAAAAAATTCTGTCCAAAACAATGGTTGCTCCAACCTGTGTAATCTGTAGTGCTATTTAACAAACTATAAGTGCGACCAAAATATTTTTTTAGTATCAAAAAAAATTTTGAACTTTGGCATGAGTGTGAGAGGGGTCGAAGGCATCATTACACACACATGAAGTTGATTAAAATGAGCATGAGATAACTGGTACGATACAAAATTAATCAATTATAAAGACAATATCATAAGATATTTTTCAGCCATAAACACTCATAAAAAACATATGATACTAGAAGGGTTGATGATATAAGTTGCAAATGTTAATAAGTAGAAACATTAAATAGACAGCCATCAAAATGAAAAACACTTATCAATGCATGTTCAAGTTTACTTCAGTTAAACTCTAAATTTTTTGGCCTTCTTGTCAACTCAGGTATGATAGCAACTTCTTCTCGTCACTGAACTCCCACAGATTAATCTTCTCGAGAGCTCATCCTCTCAATGCCTACTCTCAAGGTCTAGACAAATGCTCAAGATTGACTCTGTCCATCTAATTGGTTATGAGAAGCTCACCTTTCTTGGCAAATACCCACGACATTTGAAGACGAACATATTTGATACTTTTCAGCAAATAGTTTCACTTGGATGTTTTACCAGTTCCACACGTTTTTGAATAAACTACTTGTAGCATTTTTTAAACTGTTAAACAATAAAACTAGTTGTTTCTAACTTATTCTTAGTTAAAAACAAATATATATATGATGGCAATGCGAATGTAGTTTTATTGTTCTTGCACTTTAAGATCGGAAAGTTCAATTGTAGGTATGCAGGGGAAGAAACTTCCTGTCTTCACTGCTCTTGCTGTGCCTGATGACTGGAGGTTACCAGGATACAATTAAAAGGTTGAAAAAGGATTAGTGTTTGGATTGGATTATTCTGGAACCTGACTGGTTTTGAGAGGAACTCAGATGAGTAGATTAGAGGGCCATTGAAGGAATCCTAAAATGAAAGGAGTTTGGAGAGTATGGGAATGTTACTGGAATTAGATTCTGAAGTGGGGCTGGTGGTTTGGAGGCCAGTGACTGGAAAAGAATGTTTTCAGTAGGTGATTTTTTAACACCAGGATGTTCGCAAGCTTCCATTCTTGCTGGAGGTTTCACATAGGATCACAGTGCAGGATTCACTCTTCTTACAGGAGAAGGTGAAATTCGTTTATTTTTTCAACGAATAATACTTGCCCCCAAAATCAACAGTTTTTCAACATTCCATGTACATAAAATCGCTCATGAAGAGGCCATCTCGCCCTGCTTATAAATATGGTCCCCAATTTCCTGACAATGCAATGTTTATATAGACGTGTTTTTTAATCTTTGTTGATCTGGTTGCTGTGAGTATTGATCATTCTGGAATCATGATACATGGGGGGATGTATTTTGTTGACAGCCAATTACAAAATTTTTCAATATCCATAAAATCACCATTAAAAGAACTGTAAAGAAAATTTTTCAATATCCATAAACTGCAAAGCGAATTCCTGCACTGTGCGTCAGATTTCGGCCACATTCACTTCGCAACATATCTGTGAAGGCTATACAATACCCAATTTTTTATTACATAATTTTATTTCAAATGAATCACTAAAATTTGTTTTACATATAAATATTATACATCAAATTTCATCAAGCCATTTTCATGCTTATATTCTCACTTTTGTAAGTTCCTTCTTTCATTCTTTCCTGCATCATCTTTCCTGCATTTATGTTTCACAACATATCTTTATCTTTCCTGCATCATTCTTCGCAACATATCTTTCCTGCATCTTTGTTTCAGATTTTCTTTCATTCTTGAATATTGATTGTAGGATTGCATAATTTGTTTCTTGGAGAAACTTAACTGTGGTCAACTGATGTTGTATTTTCGTTCCAAAATTGTAATTGATTATTCAGGCAGTTGGAGCATGATGTGGAAACCGTAATCAATGTAATGCAGCCAGGTCCTTTAGGTATCATTGAACACAGATTTAGTGCTGAGGAAGTACGAAAGGCTAAGGCCACAGCAGAGCGAGCAGTTAACAACTGGAAAATGAACGCTTCCTTGGGAAATAAAAGTCATCTCAAGAAAAATGAAGATAAATAAGGCATCGGATTTCAACTAATCTGACTTGATTTTTGACATTGTTTTTATTTGCTAGCATCTAAAAGATCTTGCTGAGCTAATGTATGGTATATAGTTATAGCTAATATGCTATACTCTGCCATTCCTTTATCTTTTTTAGAATTTTTTTATAATATCGATGAAAAAAGTTCCTTGGCAATGGTCTGAGTTTGTCATAACGGTTTTCATGAATTTATTTTCCTTTTTTTTTTTTTTAATTTTTGGGAAATTTGAGCGAGTTTTAGTTCAAATGCACATACCCTACTAAGCCAAGGGAGCTTACATATGGTTTGCATGAATTGCTTCATTGATGGTACATGAATTAATTTATGCCATGTATGGGTAGATGGGCATGATACTGAATTTAATATATCTTTAATCAAGTTTATATTTAGACTGTAAATCCAAATTGGAGAGAATTGTGGGTATTTTCACGGACATGCTTGGTAAATATAAAATTGGAGATCAAACCTTGTTGTTATATTGTTCCCCTACATATCATTTTTTAACGTTAGTGATCACTTGGAAAAAACCCCAAATCTTGAGACTTCATTGCATTTGAAACAAATTCAAAGGTAATTTTGTTAAGGTAGATTATGTTTATTTAATCAGAAGTTTATTCATAATCATACTTGATTAAAGATATATAATATATTTTATAATGATAATTACTAATACTTCAAAAACAAGTACTGATAATTGTATATATGTGCAATGTAAATATTTATTTTGGATGTCCGATACGCTAAACATGATTCATCAAACCTCATGATATCTAGAATGAGTTAAATCATAGTCATAAGCATATTGCCATCACTAGCTTTATCATATTGATCACACTAAACATGATTAATTTCCTCATCTCCATGCGTATTAGGATTGATGGATAATCCTTAACAAGTGAAGCGAATGTCTCTTGAATCCATAAAGCTAGAATATTCAGTCTCATATAATACGTTAATCATAAAAAATGATTTGATAATCTCACTATGCATGAAAAACACAGGACATAAATTCCCTCAAAATTTGAAATATAAAAGAGCTTAGATATATACATCAATAAGAAATAGCAACAATGACCACTGGATCAGCAAAGGATGCACTGAATCATGAAACTTTCAAGGCAGGGGGCTCTTAATTAAAATAAAAATTAAATAAAATAATAAAAATTACGAAGCTTTTGAGATACATGCTCAGATGACTATCATTGTAGATCAAATGAACCCATCTAAAACATGAAAATTAAATTATAGGTTTCCCTGATTACAAAACCTGTCCTCTTCCTAAATACATATTTTTGATTCCAATACATCTCTCATAATAAGAAATTTTTAAGACATACAGGCCAACACAAAAAGGACTATCCTGCATCTAATTGGAGTTCAAAAATTTAACCTGTTTGATAGGACTATAAAGAATGAATTCAACTTCTGATGTATCTAACAATCAAGAGCAAGAAACAAATTATGTGAACAGGGTGACAACATCTCTCCTATAACCCCTTACTATTAACATCCTCGGCACATTCTCAACAAGCAGATCCATATACTCCATATAAAAATATGATGGGTGGTTTAAAGGAGGCGGCGGGAGACTAACCAGCACAACCGCCGCCATCCTCGAGTGTCTCAGTATTATCGAATTTAATTCCAGTGTCGTGTAAAGAAACTTATCGACTTGCTGCTCGTTCACCACAACTCGCTTTCCATCTGCCATCAATGGAGTCCCTTCTCTATTAGATTTTTCCTTCATCTCCTCCAAATAAGCACCGATGCGCTGCTGCGCACTACCGAATGCTTCCATGGACTCATCCTGCTGATGCCCGCTCTTCAAATGAGCCTCCCATGATTTCATTGTGATGACGATCACCTCAGCCTGCATTCTAAGATCATACAAGAATTTCTTCACATCAACCTTCAGTTCCTCTGCCTCAGCATCCTCTTCCGCTATGCAGAAGACCTGGATCTTGCAGCTGTCAAAGCTCTCTTTGGTGAGGAGGAGCTGGGATAGTAAGAGCATGAGGCCACCATCCCTTACAATCCAATAAAGATCAATCGTTCCGTACTGTCTCTGGTACTCGCCTGGCCATTCATCAAGACCTTTGACGATCACAACGGCCTTGTTCGCGATGATGCAGTCGTTAATGATGCTGACGAAGGTGGAAGGAATCTGGGTTAGGTTTTCGCGGCGCCAAATCTCTGGGTACCTCATGACAACAATATTTGGCTTGAGATTGCCGAGGCCCATGGTCTGCACGATGCCGCGGAATCCGTCGGCCATGGTTGGGGCTACGACAATTTCGGCCACACCTTCGCAATTCTTGTAGTCGATGTATGTGCTGAGCTGACGACAAGCAGCCTTGGCATCCTCAGCCAATTCTTGATAGTCGCCGTCGATGATGGATACAAACATGGACATGCCACGGCCTTTCTTCTTCATGCAGTTGGCGAAGTCAGCCAGCTTGGGATGACAAGGAACATTTTCTGGAAGCTTTCCCCATGGCCGGCAAAAGATGAGGGGGATCGGATACCAATTTTTAGGGTGTACTTGATTTGCTGCAAGAATGAAATGAGTGAGATGAGAGTGTTTGCGATAATAAGTTCAACATTTGTGGTAATGGTTAACAAAAAGTTCAGAGAAAAAGAAAAAGAAACCGAATATGAATCAGGTGATTCTAAAGTAGCCTTCAACAGAATGATATTTTCTTCCAAGGGGAAAGATTTTGTCAGCATGCCACCATAAACATAGGTGCTTAATGGCATTCCATCCAATTCACAATATTCTTGATATACCATCATATTCTATTAAATCTTACCAGTATAACACTAGTTGATTGGTGTTAACAGAAAAGGAACATTCTATTAACTAAAAAATACTCATACATTATGTTAGAATTTTTTCATGAAAACTACATAAAATTAAAAGGGAAATTTACATACGTAGCACACAATTCTTATGTATTTACTTCACACAATTCTTATGTATTTACCTTATGTATTTACTTCTCACACCTAAACTTTCATATTTACATACATAGTGCTATGGTTCTTTAAACCTATGCGTGAAAAAGGTGTTTTTCACTGTAAAGAAGAGAAAATAATGCTATTTTTGATGCCATATTATAGATTTGAGTAATAGAAGTGTAAATATAAAAGTTTAGTAGTGACGTGCAAATACATAAGAATTGTGTGCTATGTATGTAAATGCCCATAATAAAAATATATTATAGCAAAAACTATAAATGCTTATTTTGGAAAATAATGCTCTTTTTTTTCCGCTGATATACGCATCTTATGTTAACAAATATACAAAAATTGAAATAAAAGTGCATTGAGGCCTCTTGTGGTGAGAATATTAAAAAAAAGGAGAATAACTTACCGCCTAGAGAACGAAGGCTTCTTAAAGCTAACTGAAAATATGCACTCTTGAATCCATCACCCCAGTCACCAGCCTTCCCTTTAATGCTAACATAGTAATATATAAGGCTAGCAAGGGCTAGCGATACAACCGTAAAAGACCATGAAATTAAGAACATGATCACTGCAACAAAAGAAAAAAGTTATATTAGATATTAAACAAAACTTAAATTGGGTTTTACAAAAGGATACTATTTGAGGCAGCTATAGGAAGTGAAAATTACATATTATTTAATTTTAAATAGCATAAGCTCTGCTAAATAAATTTTAAAAAAAGTTATTGATACGTAACTGTGTTGTGGAGTCGATGCATAATTTGAAAGGAAAATACCACTTCAGTGTTACATTTTCAGGTTACATTAAAGCATTTAAGAATTTCGTAGTTTTAGACCCATTTGTTAAAGTTTATATTGGACTTGGAAAATAACAAAAAGGAAAAAAGAAGAAGCAATAATTACTATTTATAAGCAATTTCAATTAGAAACAGTTGACAGATGTATATCAAATCAGATGATAAATAAACGCGATGCTATGTCCTCGATAAAGATTAATCTTATTACATCAAAAACTTTCCTCCACTAATTTGCATCCCAAAAAAACAAAAGATAGTTGATTATAGGACAATTTTGATTTAGATTTGGTGAGCTGAGGAATACTAAGTTGAATATTTGAGAAACTATGGGATTAAAGTGAACATAGTTAAAAATATAGATATTATTTTAATCATTAACTCCATAATATAATATATATGCACCCTATGAAGGCATTTAACATACTTTACTGAGAAAGCCATAATGGTTTTCAGCATTTTTTTAAAAAAGGAACAAGGAAAAGTAGTTATAATGGTATAGTCACCGAACACGCTGCAGAGTTAAGAAGTATTGACATGGATGCAAGAAAATGATGTCAACGAGAGCTTTTTGAAAATAAAAGGGGAGTTCATACCACACAATTTTTATATATTTACTTGTATAAAACCTAATCACTTTAAACCTACTTTCATGTTTACATACATAACACTCAAAATTTTGACATCACATATCACATAAAAAATACCAATATCACTAACCTTTTTAAAATGAAATACACCTTTTCATGCATGGGTAATGCCAAGGTGTTACTATAAGTGTAAAGTGTTAGATAAGTAAATGCATTAGCATTATGTGATATGCATGTAAATTTCCCAAAATAAAAAGATATTACCTATACAGATCAAGGCACCAAGAAGCGAGAGACTCCAATGGTGAAATTTCCATCGGGGCCGCCAACTAGGAGCATCAAGAAGGTCTAAAAGAAAACAAGATAGATTTACGCCGGTATAGCATAGAAGGAAAAACATTGTTACAGTCGGAGTGATTAGATCAAGGTTTCCAATCACAACACACCCAATGCATATGAAGGCTGTAAATAGAGTAGAGAGATGCGGTTCTACCCCTTCTGAAACTTTAAAATATTTAAGAACAGGAAGAATATCATCATTAGCTATGGCAGCCAGCAAACGTGGAGCACCTGTCAAACTCTGCAGTGCAGCGCCTAAAGTTGAGAGAATGATCCCAACATACACAATTGCTGGCACAGGCCAAGCAACCTCAGCAGTAAGAAGCCTGCAAGAAATCATATTTTTTAAATATTACAACAATGGAAACCATGCCAAAACAAACTCTGTAAAAATGAAGCATATTATAATACATTAGGATTTTCAATTATATCGACTCATTGGTCATTGTATAAAATAAAATTTTCTTTTTATTGCATAATTTACAAAATGATAGCCTACTGTCAAAGCCGACGAAGTCAACTCTATTGGAAATTTGCAATTAACAGGAAATGAAGGTTCAACTTAAAAAGGATAGTTCACGGATATTTGTAATACAATATTGTAAGAGAGTAGCGCATATATGATCCATAAGAATGATAAAGCTTTAAATAATACACATAGTTCATTAAAAAAATAGGGTTGTGTTGTCTTCTTAGGGCCAACTACAGCTTTTATTAAAATCATGAACATGAAAGGAAAAGATTGAAAGAAGCAAAGCATTAGATTTCATGCCTACCTAGAACCATAACCAATCAAAACTTTGGTTATTGACAAAGACTACAACTCCAATTTGCATTTAGGGCTGGAAAGAAGGCGCTATCATGTTCATTCTCCATACCGGATTTAGCATTTTGAGTGGAGTCAGATGTCAAATCATGATTGGTGTCAAATTTTCCTTGAAGACTCTTCTCAATCTCAAATTTCTGTTTCAAATCCATATTTTCACCCTTACTAAATCTTAGATTTAGGTGAATGGGTTCAAGTGATCAGTTCGAGTTCTGATGTAAATCCTAATGCAAGTCCAAATTTAGACTCAAATTCTAGGATGCATACAAAGTTATTCTCTATTTAATAACCACTTTTAAAAATAAGAATAACTATTGGAAGAAGAACATAGCATCTTAAGTAGACTCAACTATTAACTCTAGGATACAATCATATTTTACTTATTAACAGAATTTCAATAAAAAAAAACCAATAGCAAAGTAAATAATTTTTAGCTGCATAATGCACAAACTTAAGAAATAAAAAAGAAATAAACATGCTATATCTACCAGGTTTAATGCTTTTAAATTATACATATAATTGATCTCTCTAAAGCATGAATGCTAAAAACTTGTTTTCCAATGCCATGTTTCAATTCCACCAAAATAGGCTTTATTCTATTGCCAACAAATAGCACAAAAAAAGATCGCTCAAATTTCATTAAATTTGTTCAAGCAAATTCAATTTTTTTGCTCGCCATAATATTAAGCCATACATCTAGAATATATAGAGTGATAAAACATCAAGTTCTTCAGCTCAAAACTATGAGTTATGGGTTCTATCCTCACAGTATTGCTCCCTTCTCGAAAAAAAAAAATCAAATGTGTATTTTGGCTCTTGTATCGAGGGCTACTCCTTTTCATTTACCTTTCTCAAAATCTATGATTAGCATTATGCCTACATTATAAATATTGTGATAGGTTTTTATTCTTATTAAAAAACTGCCATAAATAATTTAGAATGTATCATGATCTATAGTTTGTAATGCACACTTAGCATTTAATACAAGTTATATGCAGCCAAAAAATACAAAAAGCATGCATTTTCAGCAAAACAACAAACTATCTTTCTTAAAACATTTAGTACTTTAAGTTATAATTGAAATAATAAAACTGCTTTTCGATGAAAGATTTAAGCCCTACTAGAAACTAACAAAAAAATTTAGGATCATGAAAGCCAAAAATATGATTGAAATTAAATAAAGGAACGATATTAAAGTGAGGAAATCTAGTAAAATTCAATCACATTTTCAATCAATAAAAAAAGGAAGTAGAATAAATCAACAAAAAACAAACATTGTGGGTTGTGTCGAAGGATGGTATCTTTGGAAATTGCAAATCTCACTCTTAATTGCAAAATTGAATCCCGAAAGAAAAAGAATTGCACACTCAAAAAAGTATTCACCATACTCTTCTTACAAGCCTCAACTTCATATTTAAAATCAAAAAAGACATCTAAATATTTTTATAAAAATAGTTTGTGAAAAAAGCATGAGTTACAAGCCACAATTTCATATTTAAAATTAAAATGAGAAATCTAAATATTTAAAAAAAAAATAGCCTGGGAAAAAAGCACTATCAAACCCAACATAATAATTGCCATATTCTCGACAAAAAATAAAAAAAAAAAAAAAAAGCCCGGGAAAAAAGCAATATCAAACCCAACATAATAATTGCCATATTCTCATAAGAAAGTTACAATAAAATAGAGAAATCACAGGAACCACTTGAAATATACCAAAATTGGGAAAATATTTGCGTACATAAGACGTACGCAGCGCTGCGTACGTCAGGGGTTATTCAGGGGGCACAGGGGGGTTATATCTGGGTTATACCCCCCTGTAACCTCCGTGTAACTCCCTTGTAACCTCCTTGTAACTTATTTGTACCCATGAAATTACAGAAGAGCGGAACTCATTTGTAGGTTACAGGTAGTTTACAAAGAGGTTACAGGGGGGTCACAGTGGAGTATAACCCCGATATAACCCCACTGTACCCCCTGAATAACCCCTGGAGAATACCCCCTGGACGTACGCAGCGCTGCGTACGTCTTATGTGCGCAAATATTTTCCCCAAAATAGACACAGAAAATGAAACTTGTCACAAAAATAGAACATGGAGAAAGCCACAAAGTAAGTTCAATGGTATGAACTGCCGGAATAGAAGGGAAGGAATAAGATGTAGAGTAAGCACCATCACTTTCAAATCTTAAATCTTTAAAAATGCAAAGTTACAATGCTTTTGATCAAGAAAAAAATTTCATGAAAATGTTAATATACTAAAATTATCACATATGCTAGTTATTTATAATTAAAATTCGCATCATGTATTAATTTTATATTTCATTATAATAATAAAATTCCCCTTCATTATATTTTTCTTCATTGCTCTTTCCTATCGCCAATATATAAGCACATATATGCTTGTACTAAAAAAGAAGACGTATCAATGCTAAACACAAGATCCTGTCTAAACAACTCTAATTTTGAAATCTGAAAATCTGCCCATCCAACTTTCTCCTCTCAGAGCCTGTAATTTTTATCATGGCCACTGAGATGTTTAGGGCAGTTGCAACTTATTTAAAAGCTGTTGCGGATCAGTTGGCTGCCTTTGTTTTTTGCATTTTTGAAACAACTGTGTTGCAGTTGTTTTCGGACAAATGACCATTTTACTCCTGTACTACAATGTTATTTACAACAAAACTAATCATGCTAGCACAAACTATATTTTAAAGCAAATATCCAGTTCGAACAATACAAAATAAAAATGGACACCTCATAAAACAGTAACAAGACAACCAAAATTTAAAAAAGAACTATTAAAATAATAATTAATAATATGATAGTATTATTTTTAAAATGCACTTGGTATATGTCACGAGATAAGCCGTCTTTCACAGGAACTTTCCATACCCGTCACTATTGACGGTGGAATCCTCCAACTCATCGACTCACCTAAAGAAGTCACATTTTTCTGTTCATCTCTTTGGACACCTGTAAAACTCTACCGTAACTATGCGGCTATCGCAGAGTAAGCAGAAAACATTGTAGTCCTTAGTAGCACTACAATGCTTTGGAGGTATAAGAATTGCCCAATATAAAAATTGCTCGAGCTCATCATTTTTGAAGGCTTAAAGCCACAAAAAACAAACTTTTAGCTGCAACATTAGTGAAAATGAACAACATAAGTAATCAATTAAAGTTTTATGCAGTTGTGAGGTCTCAGAAAACACAGTATATAAACCAACGAATTTGTCACTTCAAGCAGACGACATACCTTACAAAAAAAAAGTTCTTGGTTGTCTTTAAACCACGTAATATTGAGTTCGTGTGTGTCACATATGCATATCACCAAAAAAAATTCATCTAGAAGAACCTCGAAAGCCATAACACTAAAAGAAGGAGAAGAACTTGGTTGCCTCATTGGGATTTCACATGTGACGAGAACCAATAGCAACATATAGGTCATCCAATAGAAACTTAAGATCAAATTTTTATTCTAGCTCAGACTAGATGCCACAGAATTTAAATTTTTTCGCATTTAGCACCACCAACAAAGTCATGGGAGATGGATATGTTGATGCATCTGAAGAAATTAAAAATTGACAAAAGAAGTGGATGTTTCATAAATGCGCACCTCCAACTCTTTGCCCACCATTCCTCCGAAACATCAATTTTTCACTTTATTGGATCTCAATCCAAGCCCGTGGATCCTCGCTTCAATTATTTCCAAAATTTTCAATCCTTTTTTAATTGATTCAATTTGTTTTTCAATTGCATCTTATCATACTCTCTGCCTGTGTTTTCCTTAATTCTTTTTAAAAATAAGTTATTGATCTATTTCTCAATTCGACCTCCTTAAGGCAAAGGTCGCAAAATCTTATTTTGGCATCTTTATCCCACATAGAAAATGAACGGGCTAATTTTGTCTTAATCATTGTATTACTAACATGAAATGAACTAATCAACATAAATATTTGCTATAAAAAATAATTACCACGACTAAAAGAAAAATAACATTGTCATTATATTATCACCACTACCTACACACCAACACACTACCACCTCCACACACTATCACCACCAACACGGCACACACCAACACTCAACAACACACACCACCACCTTCACACCACACAACCACCCTACATCACATCACCACCTCCACATTCACACACTACACTACCACCTCTACTCCACACACCAACACATCCACAAACCACACCACTATCTCCACACCACACACCAACACATCCACACACAAAACCACACAGCACCACCTCCACACCATACACCACCACCTCCACACCACACATCATCACCTTTGCATCATAACATCAACCATATAGAGCAAAGAGAAACCAAATCCATCAACTGGATATATCACAAAGAACACAGATCATCAACCGAGCATAGCATAAATAATACAGAAAAATCTCAAAATACAGCATCAACCGAAAACCATCGAACAATAAGACCATCGCGAACCCAGAAAAACCATCAAACATAAATATTTGTAAAAT